TGAAAATATCCATCTAACTAGTTTACTTTCTTGCACACAGTAGGTGCTCAGATATTTGTTGGCTGGTAAGCATCATTTTAGCCATCCCCAAACGAGGTCAGACTTATTGACACATATTAAATTGCTATGTGTCTGTTTTCTATTTAGGATTAAAAGTAATGGAGTGAAAAGGTAGAACTAATAATAGCTAGAAGTTTAAGTTTGGTGAAGAAATTGTAAATAGGAATCCAGCTAGTCTAAATGGATTCAAGTCCCCAAGGCAGGACAAATTATATCCATTGATCCTGAAAGAATCTGAAAACTAGATCACTGAGCAACTCTCAAACATCTTTGAGGAGTTGAAGAAAAGGAGATGTGCCAGAGGATTAAAGCACCAAAACGAGAAGGAGGAGACAAATTCTTGAAAATCCATAGCAAGTAGTTTAATACTACCTGTAGGTGAGATTATGGAATGACTCATTCATTAGAAAGAGAGCAGTAAGTCCCATTATCATATCAAAAACATTTTCTTATTTGTGAAATAGATGTTGGAAAAATTGATATAATTAGGGTTAGGGTTAGGGTTAGGTTATAGGTTATCTATAATTGCAGATAATAAATCTATGTATTTTTACTTTAATTTTGCTTTACTTTTTACTTTTTAATTAATTTAATTAATTTTTAATTTAAATTTTACTTTAATTTTACTTTATTTTTGCTCAGATAGAGTGTATCCACACTTCAACTAACTAGTTGTCAAGGTCCCTTAAGATATTCTTTTGGACAAGTTAAGAGAAATATGGCCTGTTTTCCAGCACAGGATGGTAGCTATTTAATAATTGAAGGATTATGCCAAACAGGTGTTTATATACAACTTAAATCAGTGTTTTTCAAGCTTTTTGACAATGACCTTCAGTAAGAAATAGATTTTTCATATTATCCAGTAAGCATACATGTATGTAGTATGTGCACAAGTATAATTTAAAAAATGATTGCACTGTCATGTTTTTCAGTCTATATTTTTCTATTATATTTTATTAAGAAAACTGCTGGTTATAACCTAATAAATCTGTTTCATGACTCACCACTGGCTTGGGAGGTATAGTTTGAAAAATGTGATTTCAATCAGAATGTTTCTAGGAACTACAGAGCTGTTTTTATCCTGTTTGATAAAATATTTGGATGAAGACATAGAAGGACTGTTCTCAGATTTGCAGATAATAAGATAATAAAAAGAAGAAGACAATTTTTTTGCATGATATAATCAGGATTAAGAAATTCTTAGCATATTAAATTTAAATAGAAAATTAAATAGAAAATTTAAATAAAATAAAATTAAATCTAAAAGAGATATGTGCAGTTCTGCACTTGACATCTCCAAATCTACTTGCAAAGCTACTACTGGATATGTGCTGCTGCCTAGAAGCAGAATGGCTAGAAACAAAACAAAACAACAATAAAACAGAACTCTGCTGTTTCAGTTCACAGTAATTTTAAGATAAGAAGGGAATGGAAGCAAAATTGTTTGAGAACCTACTACACATCAAGTATGAATCACTGTGCATTACATGAACCACTGGTGTTATATTGCTGGAAAACCCAGAACCAAACCAAACCAAACTAATTCAACTTTGGGATACATTAACAGAAAATCTGTTTCTAAAGATGGAGGTTCAGGGTAAGAGTTCCCCTCTGTTTTATACTGTTTAAATTCAACTAGGATTTGGAGTACTTTGTTCATAAAACTTAGAGGAAAGCAAGAAATTTGCTTTTTAAAGGACAGCTGAAGGGAATGGGAACATTTAGCCTAGCCAACTGCTGTTTTCGTTTGTTTTCTCTGGTCACATATAAGGTGCAGGAGACACACAAATAATTACAGTGTAGTCTTTTCTCACAGCCAGAGAAAGGAAACATTATTTATTGATACTTGCTACTATGTTAAATACCTTAAATGTATTAGCTCCTTTCATCCTTTAATCCTATTAATCTCTACTTTGTGTTGGGTAAAATAGGGCTTTGAAGAGAAGTCATTTGCCCAAGATCACATGGATAAGTGGGTAGTGAAACTGGCATCCGAACCCAGGTTCTACTGAGTCTGGAACCTTTGTTCGCAACCACTACATAGTATTGCCTCTTGAAAATCAGAGCTTCATGGGCTTATCTTTGAAGGACTGTCCTTTGGAAGTATGGATATGCATCTATTAAAGCATAAATCCATACACAATTGACATTTACTACATAAAATGTTTTTAATCTGGAGACTTAAAAATGAACATTATAGGTAATCTCTCTTATATTTCAAAATACTGTTAATGCAAGTGTTATTTGTGTTTTTGCTAGAAAGAGGCTTTGTTGACTATAAAGAAACAGAACTGCTTGAATTTTCAAAACTTTATGTTTCAGAGGGCAGTACTGAAACTACAGTACATGTAACTGCAATTATAAAGACTTGCATGTGGTTATAATTGTTCTTACAAGTGTTTATAGGTAATTCAACACAGATTGTTCCTGTATACCAAGGGTACAAGGACATATTTACTATATGCTGGCTGCTGAGTTGAAATTATTTCATTGAATTCTCACTCCCTGTGGGATAGATATTCTCACCCCTATTAGTGAATAGAAGACTGAGTTCAATAACTTGAGGAGAATGCACAGGTGGTTAGTTGTGAGTGTGGTTCAAAGGCCTGTGTACTTTCCATCATACCACACTGACTTCAAGGAGCTGCCAGAGAACTGGTGAACGCTTTTTAAAGTCTAAAAGTAGCAAGAGGTAGAACCTGCTGTCATACTGAACAGTGGGGTAAAAAGAAGCTAGTGTGATGACCTTTCAATCTGGATTTACAGATGTAAGATAGATATATCATTTTAAACTTGCACATGAAAATAGTGCTTGCAAAAGTAGATGCTATTCACTTGGGACAGATAAAAGGCAATAGGTGGATATACATCACAGGATTCTTCTATGGCAGCATATCTAAGTCACACTATTAAGACCTAGAGGTCACTTTCAATCTTTCTAACATTTTATAATTCACTTGCTATTCAATTTATATGGACATATCAATCACTATTTCTTTCAGAAATTTTTGCTGAGCTATTTTAATAATTCAATTACTTCAGGAAAAGTTTAAACAGAAGCACACAATTAAGGACTAATCCAAGCACCGGTCTTGAGGACATACATGACATACATGACTTATGGCACGTCAAAATTTTAATGCATCCCAATATCCTAGGAGTTAACTTGACTAGCCAATCCAATTAAACATAAGCACTAACAAACCAGATAATGACAGATTTGTATATTGACTATTTTCAATTGAGATGACAGTTAAAATGATTTGAATATACCTCAAGATACCTAATAGCTAAAATGATTTGAATATACCTCAAGATACCTAATAGTTCTGGTGTCTGACAATATATTGAAAAGGGTTTACCTCAGAAATATTTTTAAAAAATTACATCCTTCATTTCGAGATAAACACTAGTCCTGCCTATTTAGTTTTAATTCGACACGAGCGGCAAGTCTGTTGTGTACATTTTAATTTTAGGAAGTAAAACTTTTTTTTCCCATTCTCTATACGTGAAGATGCAGAAATCTATTACTTTAACCACAGATTAAGACTGGCAGAGAATTACTTATATTTTAAGATAATTCTCAAATCCTCTGAACTGTACATGCCTAACAAAAAGGGGCACATCATTAGTTGGCATCATACCTGACGATCGTTAAGGATTTTTTAAATGTGGGATTTGTCGCTCCCACCAACCTACTACCCCAAAGTGTCACAAGGTGCAGCCTTTTTAGTCTGGGAGGTGAGTTCAAGAACTGTTTGTTGTTCAGAGCTCCATCCAGAGAGGATCACTGTTTGACAAGTTCTATTTTAAGTCGTGCCTGTGTGTGCAGGTGTCAGCCTCTTTGATGGCTGTAGAGAAAGACCCATTATACTCCATCTGTATCCTTCCCCGACAATGCAGGATTATTCCCCACAGTGCGTTCGTTTCTGCTTTGCCAGCCACTTTTTGTCACTGGGAAATTCCAAGGCGGGCAGGCGGACAGGACTGAGGGAAGGGCCTGAGGGGGCAGAAAGAGGTCGTCTGCCACTCCCCTACCTTACAAGGCACGTGGCACTGGCTGTAGCAGCTGCTGGATGCGACGACGAAGATGACGAACCTCCTCCTCGCAAGAGGATAGTCAGGGAATAAGGAGGTGGCAGCGAAGGCGAGACACACACTCGGTGTCCTTCCCCACAGGGAGAGTCCACCCTCAAGGGAAAAACTGAGGAAACCACCACCCGCCCCGCCTCTGCCAGCTCGCCCCAGTGTCTGGCAGCGGTCCCCATGCACCTGCTCACCTGTCTATCCGTTCGGGGCGGTTGGGGGAGGGACGAGGGGTGTCGGGCTGGGTGGGTAGAAGGGGAAGGAGGGCAGGGCGAAAAGAGGGGGTGCACGAGGGCTCCGCCCCCCGGAGGCTCTGCGCAGGCGCAGTGGCCGCTACCGCAGGCAGGGGGCGGCAACATGGCGGAGTGAGCGGCGGCGTCGGGGCTTCACAACAACAGTGGCGCCTGTAGCAGCGGCGGCAGCGGCGTCAGTCACAGATCTGAGCTTCAGCGCCGGCCAGCGCCGCGGGCAGCTGCTCGCGCCCCAGGGTTATTCCGAGCGGCGGCAGCATCTCCGCGGGGGGCGGGCCGGGCCGGACGGACTGGGAGGGGGAGCGTGAGGAGGCAGCGGCGGCGGCAGCGGCACAGCTGCTGGGCGGGCACTGCCGCTCGCCGGGCAGCGGTTAGCGGCGCCGCCACCGCCGGGAATAAGCCTGAGAATAACCCACCGCCTCCGCCGGGGAGGGCGTCGGAGCGGGCCGGGTCGAGGCGCAGGCGGGGAGCGGGCCCGGCGCCGCGGCGCTGGTGGATGCTGGGGCTCCGAGGCGACGGCCGGGGGGCGGGGGCCGAGGCAGGTATAACGGTACCGGCGGCGGCGGCGCCTCGGCTCTTCCCTTCTCGTCAGGAGGGGGGCAAATGGCGAGCGAGAAGCCGGGCCCGGGCCCGGGGCTCGAGCCTCAGCCCGTGGGGCTCATCGCCGTCGGGGCCGGCGGCGGAGGCGGCGGGGGCAGCGGCGGCGGGGGCAGCGGGGGCAGCGGGATGGGGGAGTTGAGGGGGGCGTCCGGCTCCGGCTCGGTGGTGCTGCCCGCGGGGATGATTAACCCTTCGGTGCCGATCCGCAACATCCGGATGAAATTCGCAGTGTTGATTGGACTCATACAGGTCGGAGAGGTCAGCAACAGGGACATCGTGGAGACAGTGCTCAACCTGGTAAGGGGAAAGGCGTGCTCGCCATCTGCCTCCCAGCCCCCCCACGGCCTGCTTCCCTCCCCAGGCGCTGGCTCCCACCCCTGCACCCCCCTCCCCGGGTCCCGCACGCAGCGCGTCCCCGCGAGCACAGATCGTCCAGCGGGTATCGCCCAGCGGGTATCGCCCAGCGGGTGACCTGCCTGCGCGCTGCCAGAGCCACGCCACCTCCCCGTTCTCTCCCCCGGTCCTCTCCTGCCAGCGAGCGCAGTGCCCAACTTAACACCGCCTAGGATCACTTCTCGTGACTGCGAGTCGTTAGTCGTCCCTGGCCGTGCAGGGTTTGGGTCTTCTTGAGAGTTTATGGTCACGGGGAGAGGAAGGCCTCCTTTTCTCTGGAGTCCTTCCTGCCACACTCATAATTGTCGGTGCGGTGGCTCTCGAAGGATGGAAGCCTTGCCCCTGGAGCCTAAATTCCCCGGTGCTCCTGAAACGTGAGAAGCACGTTAGCTCCCACTTGAGCTGCTGGGGTGTGATGTTTTCCAACGAGGAGGAAAATGATGCAGTTTTGCATCTGCCTTTAAATATATTCCCAGACTGTGCTGGAGAGTGTTGTGGCTGTTTCTCCTCCCCAGCCGCCTCCCCCCCCCCCCGCCCCCCCGCATCTCTTTTTAGGTAGGCTTTCTTTCTTTGTAATATGGCCCTGAATATACTGACCTCGTAGTCATTTTTGTGTGTGTGTGCACATGAGGTGTTAAAATGTGGGGGCACCTAATCATACAGGTTGGTTTCTTTGGTTGCCTTCAGAGAGCGTCGCATGTGGCTAAAGGCGAGAGGAAAGGTGTTAAATTCAGTCCTAGGTTTGGTTTCTTATATGATAAGAAAGAGTTACTGCAGAACTGTGTATGACTTAATGTTTGGCGGTATCTATCTACGGAGAGGCTAAGAATCTTCAAGATGTCAGGGGAAGACATGGGGACGAACTAAAGGGAGGAGAACCATAGATTTCGGATAATAAGACTAGTTCATTTAAGATTAGTTCTTTTTTTTTTTTTTCTAATGCCTTGTAAGTGCAGTTTTTGCTGCAGCACAGCTTTTTAAACAGTTTCTTCTGCAATATTTAGCCTTTGACAAAATGTCAGGTTGGGTTTTGGAAGGCAAGGCTTAAATCAGCAGCAATCAGTTGACTATTGTATTTGATGTGGAGTCACAGGAATATAAAAATATGCTTGTAAAGAGATTTGATAACACCCATGCAGTCAGAATTTTCAGCTAGGCAATTATTTTTATTTGATCCATTGGGAAACTGAAAGAAAGCTGCAGCTGCAGCAGTGGTGCCCTGAGACAGGGATTAGATAATGCCTATGGCATATGTGCCTCTTAAATGTACAGAAAAGTTAAAGCTATTGGGTTTTTTGTTTGTCTGTTTTTGTTTTTTTCTTGCTGGAGTGTCAAGTGAAAGATAGGAAAATATCTGACTTTTCTTTGTTATATTTATTACTGTTTAAGTACCAAACATTTCTTTGTGCTTCTGTGTACCCTTCAAACAAATCACCACAAAAAAGTCAGTATAAGTTTGGGGGACTGTCACTTCCTTGGTATAACCAAATTCTTTTCAAAACACTAATAGAAATACTGTTTTCTTGGACATTTTAATTTTAAACAGCAGCCAATAGGAGGTCAGTACTTGTCTTTTTTTTTTTTTTTTTTTTAAGAGATGAAATCTCAAAATATGTTAGTAGGTTAGCAGGTACTGTTTTTCTGTAAATTTAAAAGAAAACATTAAAGATTTTTGTTTTATTTTAACAGTTTTCTGATACCATTTTTACCTTAGATGATGTGATTTTAGGTTATTTTAAGAAGTATTTATATGCTTACCTAATACATTTTTCTGTGAGAAGAGGCAACAGAGACTGTTACAAGCTGGAAACTGATTTGAATGTGTAACCAGTTTGGACTCTGCAGCAGTAGCAATGTATGCTGGATCAGTTCTTAACAGATGGGGTTCTATAGATATACAGTAGGTTAAGAAAGGAAGTGAAATATTCCTGTTGAGGTAAAAAAGAATTTTAACTATTTTCAGTGCACTGAAAGTCTTCACTGGCATGAAGTCTCCGTATGCAAACATTATTAAAGATTAACTTTACTGGTAAGCTTAATTAGAGTAACCAGAAATAAGGTAATACTGACATGCTGCTGCATCCCCAAATCCACTTAAGATGTAACTGCGTTGGTTTTTGGCATTAAAAAGTCAGGTTTAAAATTCTTTGTACATACTTAAAGAGTACAATTGATGGAAACTTTTGGGGAAAAGAATGACAAAACCACCTATTTACTATTAAGTTGTTGAGTGTATTGATTGTGGAATGCACATTAGTCATGTGCAGCGTAATATTTCTTGAATGGAAGGTTTAGTGCTTTATCTTTCCCATATACTCATGATGAAAGTGTCATGTGAAAATTTATGTTGATTGAGAAAATATTTGGAGATCATAAGCGTTTAAAAATAATCATCAAAACTTAATTCTATTTACTTAATGAGTGTATCAGTAAAATTGAGTTAGGGCTCTCTGTGACCTGCTAAAGGTTGGAAGCTTCTAATATCTCTTAAAATGAGTTTTTTGTTGTTTTTTTTTTTAGTTTTCCATCTTAATTTAAAACATTAAATTAAAATGTAGTTGGGAATAATGAAATATGTATCACAGTACTTTCCATGACAGAAAAGAAAGGAAGAAATACTAACGAAACTTCAAAACAAAAGAGTTGCTGCTTTAAAACCCTGTCTCAGCCACCTTTGTCAAAATATTTTTTTCCCTGTATATTCTTTTTCTTTATATGGTGAAACTACTAATACTTGGTTTTTAGGTTTCTCACATACCTTACCCAAAGAATTAAAAGTTTTACAGAGCAAAGTTGAAGTATATACTAAAATATAAGACTAGTTTAATACAGCCATGGTTATAATTTGGGGTCCTTTTTTGGCCAGAGGTAGAGGTCCATTTCCACTGTTGGGTGGATTATGGGAATTTGTTGAAGAATCACCAATGGAATGAGAAATAAAATGAGTAATTTCCATTGTAGATGAATGTATTTGTATGATGATATAATTCACTTGAAACATTCAAATATGAGATGCATAGGATCAGGGATATGAGTAAGTTAATTTCTAAATAAATTACAGTGAGAGTATATTGTCAAGGATTTTGCATTACAGCTTTACCAATGGAAAAAACTGATCATCGACAAAGTTTGGCTTTGGGAGGTATTATTTAATGTGGCAGAATAAGAGCACTTAGCTATAGAAAAGAAATTTTGTTGGTTGTTTCAATTATAAAACAGGCATACTAGGCATACTACTTAATCCGTTGCTTACTTTGTAAAGACAGTATATGTTTATACAAGGTTTTTACTTCCTTCAAGTAAATTCTGTGTATACATAACATGTTCTCTGTTTATAACATGAAAGTATCTTATCATAGATTTTAATATAAACATTTTTAGAACAGATAAAATACAACATTAATGTTTACTTAATTCACAATAGGTTTTTTTTTGGAATTGCTGTCTTAGGTAGTATAAATCTATAGCATTTGATTTTTTTCACAAATCATGCAATATACTAGTGTATCTTTAATGGTAGAAAACATTTACTTTGATTATTTTTTTTTACATTCTAAGTGGTATACTGTATATTGTATTAAAAGTATTACAAGATACTATGAGGGGATTTTATGTGCTAAGTTCCTCTCTACTCTTGATATATGGATTGTGGTATTATTGTTAAAAAGAAATTTAAAAGGTTTTCCCTTCTGTACTTGAATGTGACAGTGACTTTTCTTCCTTAGATTTTTTTTCATCTGCAGCCTCATAATCAGAATAATTTATATTTTGAAGATATTTATAATTTCATGAACAAAAGATGTGTTCTGCTTATGAACTAAATTTCTTTTAAAAATATGTAGTTGAATTTTTGAGTCATGGAAGTCCTTAATATCAACAGAACCACATTTATTTATATTAGAATATTCTTCATTTTATGTTCATATGTAAGTCCTTTCACATTAATTTGAATTATATTTTATTCTTATTATTAGGTATTGAAAACTAAATTGAGTGTGTATGTAAATATTGGGAATTTCAATATCCTGAAGCGTTCTGAGGTTTTCCTTTAAAGTATTAATTTAGTCATATTAATACAACTAACCACTAAGTAGCATGTGTTCTATGAGTTTGTGATCAAGTTATAGCAATTTTAAATAAGTATTTCTTACATTGCTAGTCAGTTTTTGGCAAATACTTTGTGGTTAATTAAATGTATCTCAAGGTTCCCTCATCTTTTGCTGTACATTCTCCAAATACAGTGTCAAATTTATTGGTTCCAGCAAACTCAGCTTCCATTTTGGACCAAGGATGTGGCAGTATTGTAAAATTAAGTTATCCACATTTTTGATTATTTACTTTAATAGTAGTTTGCATCAGTTTCATAGGTTTTTTCATTTATTGCCTCTACTTGTGATATTTCATGCAGTGTCAGCATATCTCCTTATTTTACAAAGATATAACCATCATTTTCTAGTTTTGTGTATGGTATTTAGTCTCTAGTTATTGTTTCATTTCCTGTACTGTGAACTCTGTGAGGGCAGAAGGCTATATTATGTATACTTTTATTTTATTTTATTTGTATTTCTGGCTCTTGGATAAGTTAGGTGAATTTCGAGAATGTACAGGACACCGTTATTAGGCAGTAGAGGGCAAGATTCTGAAATTCTGTTCAGCAGTAGGGTCCAGTTCCAAGATCTTGAAATAAATGACTCATATAAAGTTAACATATTCCCTGTTCTTACAATTAGAAATATTTGTTGACTATATATGAATGTTTTCTGTGTAGGGTATTACTATATAGTAAATATTATTTTGAACTGATGTCTTAGAATAAATAAGAATCTGTTAATTGTTTTTCAGTATATATTGTCAGATATATACACACATAACTAAGAACACGTTATTTTAAGCGAATTATATAT